CATTGGCTAAAATTGAAAGTTCAAGGATCTACAAAGATCTACTTGTGTGTAACCAATTCATTTAGTCTCGTTGTATATTGAATTTTGTGGTTCGAGCTGAATATTATTTTGTTATCGTCGCTCGAAAAAAATGGCTGCATCTAATTCAACACAGCCAAGAAGTGCAGCTGAAGCTCTTGCACGGATAGAACAAGAGAGATCTGCTGCGCCGATAATACCGCAAATTGATTATTCAGTACACGAATTGGAAGATGGAACTCGTGTTTCCACACACGACAGGTAAGAACGGAAGAAAGATGGGTCGTGTAGCTTAGTTCATTTGGCGCATGCAAATTGCCGTGATTGTTCTTTAAAATTACATGGCTACATAGAAAAGCTTGAATTTTTCACAAATGTAGATTGTGTAAAGAAGTTCAGGCACCCGCTGTCAAGGTTCCTACACCCGAGGAATTCTTTTCAAAAGAGGATCCTAATAAACCAGACATTGTGTTTTTGAAGAATCATTTTTATCGTGAAGGAAGAATTACCGAAGAGCAAGCACTTTACATTATAAAACAAGGCACTGAGATATTAAAGAGGGAGCCAAACTTGTTAGAAGTAGATGCTCCAATTACAGGTAGAAACCATTTACTAAATTAAATAGAGCAATAGGAGTAATCGAAATTTTTAATTATTTAAATGTTCACATATCAAGAAGCTATTATAAAAATTCTTATTACACTAACAAGATATTCTGTTTTTTGCGCTAATGCTTTTATCAAGTATGCGGTGATATTCATGGACAATATTATGACTTGATGAAGCTTTTCGAAGTTGGTGGTAATCCAGCTGATACTCGTTACCTTTTTTTGGGAGATTACGTGGACAGGGGATATTTTTCAATCGAAGTAAATGATTATGATTTTCGAATTCCTTTTATCATTCGTTTATTTTTCCTTTGAGTTTGTTAATTACTAAATTTCTGATTTTTACTCAAGTGTGTTTTATATTTGTGGTCGCTGAAAATATGGTACCCTGATACATTGTTCTTACTACGTGGAAACCATGAATGTCGTCATTTAACAGATTACTTTACTTTTAAATTGGAATGTGAGTTTCTGTTGTTTTTCGTATCATCACAAAAAAATAATCAGTAGAATTAATCTTTTTTTTCATATTTTTTTTTACTTCAGGTAAACACAAGTATTCTGAAGTGGTTTATGACGCGTGTATGGATTCATTTTGTGCACTTCCTCTTGCCGCTGTAATGAATAAACAATTCTTATGTATTCATGGTGGTTTATCTCCGGAGCTGAATACGCTAGATGATTTGCGCGATGTAAGTAATTTTTTATTGGTTATTTATTTCTAGTGCAGTATTCACTAATGTCAAACAACAACTACAGATAAATCGTTTCAGAGAGCCACCAACCCATGGACTAATGTGTGACTTGTTATGGGCCGATCCACTCGAGGAATTCGGTCAGGAGAAGAATAACGAATGTTTCTTACATAATAATGTTCGAGGATGTTCTTATTTCTTTAGGTGGGATTTTTTGGAGACGGTAGTACTAATATTGTTGCTGCTTTTCTGGTGTTTGTATACTTGACTTAATTCAAATTTATTTATTATTATAATCTAATAATAGTTACCACGCAGCATGCGCTTTTCTGGAAAAAAATAGTCTATTATCGATTATTCGTGCACATGAAGCTCAAGATGCAGGGTAAGAATTTGCTTGGCTTTTTTTTTTACATACCAAAGATAGAATTGTATTTCTCTTAATATTTATTTACATTCACTGAAGATATCGAATGTATCGAAAGACAAAAACTACCGGATTCCCTTCAGTCATGACTATATTTTCAGCACCAAACTATTTGGACGTTTACAACAACAAAGGTTTGTCACATCTCACCTACTCATATATATATATATATACGTGGATACTTGAAATTTCATTTATTTTCTTTATTGTCATTGCTGGTTATCATTGTTATTAATTAAAAGGAAGAGAGGAGACAAGGAATCACAAAATATATTTTTGCTAAATAAAGCTCTGTTTCTTAGCGGCCGTTTTGAAATACGAGAATAACGTGATGAACATCCGACAATTCAATTGCACCCCACATCCATATTGGCTACCGAATTTCATGGATGTGTTTACTTGGTCTTTGCCGTTTGTTGGTGAAAAAAGTTTGTATTTCTTTCTAATGATTAGAGAGATTATTTTAGCATATTCGCGATATTTGTGGCGTGAATTTATATTGTAAATTATATTTATGTATGTGTATATTTATGTATTGTAGTTACAGATATGCTCTTAGTCATAATGAGTATTTGCAGTAAAGAAGAGCTGGAAGATGACGAATTAGAGGATAGTGTAGAAGATGATGGGCCAAGGTCGCCGGGTAAAAATATTTTATTATAACATAAAAATTCATACGGAGTTGTTAGGTGTTGGATTTCAGTAGAGTTAACACACATAACTTTTAATATAAAAGAGCCTTCATTGACTGATGGCGCAGAAAGACGCCAAGTGATCAAGAACAAGATTTTGGCCGTTGGTAAAATGGCCAGGGTTTTTTCCGTTCTTAGGTGAGTTATTTTCATTTTCGTGATTTGTTAGTGATGTTGATCATTAATCTCATCCGGTAGTAAATTTTATTTTTGATAATAAAAATAGAGAGGAATCTGAACGTGTTATGGAACTGAGGAATGTTACGGGAACAGGAAAGTTACCGTACGGTACATTGGCTTTGGGTGCGGAAGGGATCAAAAAAGGTATGTTCTTTTGGCATTTTATCTAACTAATTGTTATCCTAATTTCTTTTTATATTAATTATAATCTCTGTATCATCTTCGTAATAATAGCAATTACCTCATTCGAAGAAGCTCGAAAATCCGACCTTGAGAACGAACGTTTTCCGCCAACCCGCGGAGAACAGGATGCCATCTCCGAAGCAAAACAACAAAAAGCAATCGCTCGAGCTGTCGAGGAGGTGAATCAAGATAGAGAGCTTAACGAGGTGGCCGAAGTTTATGTAAAAGAGGACGAAAAAAGGAGAAGTCTAAAGAGTCTTTCGGAGTATAAGGGAGAAGAACATTAAGGGGGAACTGGCTTATTTATTTTTTTTGGTCGATTTGGATCGATGGCTTGATAAACGATTAATGTTGGTGCAATTATAATTAATGTTAGGAAGTCAGTCGATTGTGGTTCGGTTTTCGTATGAAAAAAATGGAAATTAGTAGTAATTAATTAGCAGCATTGATGGCGAGAAAAAAAGACGCAAAGAGGCAACAAGAGTTTATATGCTATGCGATGTAGACTGTCACATTATTTCTGAATTCTCGTTACGATTTTGAACTTTTACTTAAATTATTCATATTATTTTTGGATGATGTCATTATTCTTCTGTATTCGAGCTTGAGCGGTTTTCATTCATACACATACACACATACATACATACATACACACATACACACATACATACACACGAGCGCACATACACACTTTCATCTTGTTTTTAACAATTAGCTCATTTGATGAATGAATCTGTTACATGTATCACTTGATCATCGACATGCTCATTATCGTTATTGCCATCAGGTTGGACAAAAGAGAATTTATTTTGACCCCGCTAACTCCCGCGCCCATCTGCATGAATAGTTGTTAGTATATATTTCTATTTATCAACCTACGGTCTGCATCATCAACAATAATAGATTTTCATGCAATTTCCTAAAAAGAGGCGCAATCGATCCTATATATTCGCTCAGTAAAAATACTTGTTCGCATTATCATTATCGTTATTCATAATTCAATTCGATACAATTCAATAATGAGTGAAAGTATCCTTTCTGTAAAAATTCGAGAAGCAACCACGAGGCAGCAACCGAAACCCCATATTGCATACGAAGTAGAAATTCGCGCAGCAGTTCGTACATGGGCAGTCTGGAAACGATTCAGCGAATTCGAAGATCTCAACAAAAAGTTTCTTCGACTATTCCCCAATCACCCACCCCCCGTCGACCTGCCTGTAAAACACTTTTTCCAGTCGACACTCGGGAACCCGGTGTTAGTGGAGGAACGTAAACGTGGACTCGAAGACTACCTGCAGGCGATACAGACAGACCCTGATGACCGGTGGCGCGAGACTGACGAATGGAAGGAGTTTTTGGCGATACCGACCGGACGTCCGTTAGATGCTAGTACAATGTACACGTCGGAAAGCTGGTTGGACGAGTATAATCAGGTGCAGGCTGTTGCTCGCGATATACGCACATTATTGAACCGTCGTGAGACGCATATTTCTAGAAATGAAGTGCAAGCTTCACATAATTGTGGTGTACAAGCAAAGAAAAATTTAACGACTCTTAATACACGAGTAATACAACTTGATGCCGGTCTGCAAGGTCTAGCAAAAGGTTCTGGCCGAGATGGACATGTAATGCTGGAGGGTGAGCTACGACGAAGAATGGACATGTTGAACGATTTGAAAAATCAAAAAGAAACTTTGACGAAACTTGTGTTAGCCAATCGGCCAGACATCACCAAATCCTCGTCACAAGCTAGCAACGTTGATCGTAGTGTACTGTTCCGACAACCAGAAGTATCATCCGCTCGCCAACAACTGCCTCGAACTGCTTCCGGTTCAATTATGACCAATATTACTGCTAGCAGTAATAGTAGCATTGTTTCCTCAAATAGTAAACCCAACGTTTCCTCGAGACGTGTCTTTGGGAATACGACTGCCAAGATGCCCAGCGAGACTGAGCAAACACGAGGGCTTGATAACGAAGGACTGCTGCAATTGCAACAGCAGACTATGCAAGATCAAGATCTTCATGTCGAGCAGTTTAGTGCAATGTTGAGCCGACAAAAGCATATTGGATTAGCTATTTCGGACGAGTTAGACATGCAGAATGGTATGTTGGATGAGTTAAACGGTCAAACTGAAATGATTGGCGATAAATTGCGATATAGTCAACGAAAGATTGCTAATATTCATTGAGGTGTCTGTTTCTTGCTTTTTTTCGTTGGGTCACAAAGTTGTAGATTTATTTATATAATTAACATTTTAAAAATCATCAACATTAATGTGCATTATTGTGTGTATATATGCGTACAGGAGAAAAGAACGATGGTGAATTCTCTACTCCGATTTTATTTTTTTCACTACACTCAATTATTATCTTTATTTTCATTTAACATTTTATCTTACATATATGCTATATAACATCTCGAGTACATTTTTGACATACGCACACATTTATTCGCCTAAACTGTAATTATTGTTCAATACACCAAATAGATATGAATTTGAAATTTGATGGATGGCTTTTGTTGCTCGTGTAATTTGTGATTCGTACTATCATTATTAGATTATAAATGATTTCTGATCGAAATAATTCCAAAAATCAATCTACACTAATCATTATTATTACATATATAATCAAAAAGTTGCACCTTTTAGCGTCCACGTAGTCATACGTGTATAAATAAATTATATCTACTTGCTCACAAACAACATATCTTCAGCACTATCTTCTCTCGCTTCTTCACACTCCTCCCCATACAAAACTTTCAACGCCTTTACATATTTCGGGAGTTTATAAAACTCGCCTAACCGAAATTGCATCAGATCGAAACTTATGCCGATACGATTGTGCGCGTCGGTGAATACCGGTACTTTGGGGTAACGCTGGCTAAAGTGGGTGAATAGTGTCGATTGCGCATTCATCCTGAAATTATTAATCGAACACCAGCGTAACAATATATTCAGAATCGAGACGAATAATGATTGATGTAAATTAATTAAATCAAGAGATTAAGCATACCTTTCGCTCACTTTTACTGCCTCGCTGGTAGTACAATGTCGTTTTCCGAGTGCATCCTCAATCAAGTCGTTTTCGAAGGTAGCTTCATGAATTAATAGTGTTGCGTTCTTGCCTACTCTAATCAGATTATCACATGGTCGAGTATCGCCCGAATAACTAAAAAAAAGGATAGGATTCATTTATAATAAATATTATTACCACCATTGTTAACAAGAAACAAAAAAATACACGTACACAAGTTTCCACCCATTCAAATGTTGCAAACTGATCCCATATGCAGATGGGCAATGAATCACCTCAACGGAAGTGATATCTTTCAATCCTAAGTCCGTTTTTAGGTTCTCTACTCTGAAAAAACCAAACATTAATAATAAAATCCATGAAAAAATGGTTATTTATTTAATCCAATAACAGAAAAAAAAGAAATGGATTACTTTTTGTTATTATAGGAACGGCGGTTTGGCAATATTTCTCTATTATCGATGAATTGCATTCTAGGAAATCCAAAGTACTCGATGTCGTTATACTCGTCTAACCATTTTAATAGACGCCCGGGGGCGACAATAGATAACCTAGAGTCAGGATTGCCTTTGTTAAGCTTTGTGATATGAATGTTATTAATTATAATTATATCATGGAAAAGTAACATGAAAATAAATAGAACCAAAAAATTTGAACGAAAAATACCTCATTCCATTTCGTTAAAATTCGCATAGTCCCTAAATGGTGATCAGCGTGCAAATGAGAAATGAAAATACATTTTAGTCCTTTAATACATTCCTCTAGCGTCATCATCCCATCATACGATTTTCTGCTTAATGGACCAAAAAGTCTTATCAATGTGCCATATGTTCCTTCGCCTACATCTAAAAGAACAGAGCCATACTTTGGGATAGTTATCAGGTTGCCGCTGACTATATTATTTTATACAATAATTATTGATATTATTGGACAATTAATTCATCAGATCATTATATTATTTATGATCAGTATTGAGAAATACAAAAAGTACCATTTCGATATTTCGATGGAGCACTCGATCCGGTTCCGAGTGTCGTCACGGTAACATCGTGTCCCGGTATATTTGTGGGAGGCATCTTATTCGTGTCAAATTCTTCTCTTAGCTGTTGAGCAATAGCGAGATATTCTCTAAGGTAATTTACAGATTTTATGACGGGTGATTGTGGATCTTGGAGATCGAATAGCGGAGGTATTTGAGTGGCATCTAACTTGGGTTTTGGTTCCATATCGTAGACTAACAGAGGAGCAGATGTGGCGAATTTTTGTGGCAAGTCTGGAACTGGGTGAAACCGCCTTTTGTCAACATTACGATCATCTCATCAAATAAATACAATTTTAAAAAAAAAGGTTTTATATAATAGTAAATGAATCAAAAATACCTTCTTTGAAGTCCTTTAACGGTTCATTTGAATAGAAAGGAATCCGAAAGTGCGTAGGATCCAGTTTCGACAATTTATATTGACTTTTACCGGCGTAATTAAATATCAATCGTTGTGGACAGTACTCTTCATTGGCAATAATATGCTTTTAATATCACAAAATAAATCTTTCTTTATTTATTTATTTATCTATTTATTTCAAGAACTAGAATAATTCATACTTAAGAAAGTACAAGGCACCTACCTGAGTATTTTCTCCAAACTTCTTCATCCACGTTCTATAACGCTCGTCCTCCAACACGCCGTTGCCCAACATATGAATCACGACACCCGGTTCCATCTCTTCTTCAGATGTTTGATGTGGGGATAAATCTCGATTCGCGATAAGTGATGGTATATAGTCCACCGAGGGTATATCTACTATAATAAATATCTTAATAAACAGACAAGCATGAATTTGGCGACCATTATCATTTTTGTTTATTTTATCGAATTTAAAAGAAAAAGCTCTTACAAATCCGCCACGCGCACCGCTCAATACTTGATGTGGATGCACAATGCTACCATCCGGTGCAGTTACTGAAGTTCCATTAACCAGCCGGGCTAATAAAGTAATAAGTGCATTAATTCATTGTTTCAGTTATTCGATATCCAACTCGTGATAATAAACAATTGAAAAAAAAAGACCAACCATACAGCGGGCCAGGAGGTAATCCAAGAGCCTTTGCAGCTTGTGGATTAAATTTTCCTTTATAATCCGGGCCTTTACATATGTACGCGACAGACGTCGATGATTTTCTGGCTTTTGGTAATCGTTGAGAAAAAAGCTCGCGACGTTGATCACTCAAACTTTTCTCAGAGTTTATGTTTGTTGATGACGATGTAGCTGCAGTTTCCCCAATAGTAATAGTCTCTTCTTTTGAAGGTATTTCGAACACAGCCTCTTCTTCTCTGCGTCTTTTTTTTGGTTGTTGACCGGTGTTTTGTCGTTGACTCTGATTAAACATTAACGACAACACTTTCTTTTTATATTCCAACGAAGAAGATTTTTGTTGTTCTGAATGCTCTAATGATGCTGAGTCATGCGACCTTTTTTGTGGTAAGGAGATCTCTGCTGTAGACGATGACGAATCATTATCGTATTTAATTGATTGATGCAAACTTTCGGGGCAGAGTAAAACCGCTTTGATAGCCAGATTATCGTCTTTGAATTCCATTCCGTCTTCCGGAAATTCAAGAGTCTCAACTGACATTGTTGATCTAAAATTTAGTCCATTTATTAATTAATATTGCTTTTTCGCGTTGGATTGTTATTCACTACAATACCTTACTATAAAACTTCGCGTGGCCACGAGAAAATGCGTCAGATTTTCACCACCGAGTATCCTAGCGTTTGGAATTCCCGCGTCTGCCATACTTAGCAGCATGCCTGTTAGATTCATTCATTGATTCATAAAGTTAAAATAACATTGATAATGTAAATATTATAATCTCAAAATTTATAAGCTAAAAATAAAAATTTTTTCATAACAAATTACGGTAATCAGCATTAAGCAAATTGCGCACATGATAACCCAAAGATTAATAATTATAGAAAATCAACAATTCACTTAAGGCTGACGCGTTAATGGTATTTTTAATGATGAAAACTACCTGGAAGCCCACCCAACGTCTCCCAAACAACACGAGTCGTGAAAATATTCTGCAACTTCGGTAGCCGCACTTTGTTCTCCAGGCATACTCGCTGCGTGCCCTCTCCACAGTTGAAAAGATACCGTTGTGGGGCACGTGTATCAAAATGAACTATTACTGAGGGTGTGGTGTCTGGAGTCGCACACCCCAGTATTTGTATATATGATTTCATTTGACGAACGGGCGTATATAAGCAACCAATATTACAACAACCAACACCACTGCCCAGCGAAAGTGGGTTTTGAAGTGTTGTTGGTTTTACGACGGCAAGTCGCCGAAAAATGAGACGAGCTATGAACACCAGTATGAATGATCTAACGAGTTAACGAGTTAATTGTGGAAGACACGTATTTACTTGACGTTAAAAGTTTAGAAAAAATATTCGAGTGATGGAATTAAACAGCCAATTAAATTGACAGAAATGTTAAACGACATTGTCCTAAAAAAATTAACCAATCAAATTGATCTTTTGATCGAATATATACGCACTAACCAATTATATCGTTTTGATTTCCCAAATTTCACCCAATCACCTATCACCTTTATTTGAGTGATCCGAACTAGAAATGAACAGGGCTAGTAGTGTTGAGCGAATTTTTCCCTTTATTCTTCAAAGAAACTATACTTTATTTTATATCTATAATAACTGCTTTACACCTATTATAAATTCAAATTCCCTAAACTCGCAGAATAATCTCGGACACGCAACACAATTATCTTATCTTCCACACACTACCACCATCCACACAATGATAAAGCGTAATGTGAGCCCAACCGAAACGAACAAGTATTCTAACAAGAAAGCGAAAACATCCCCAAAAGAAACAAACACAACTCAAACTTTCCTGTCTGCCTGGGTCAAACCTTCTCCCGCGAAGGACGCGTCTTTTGAGGAAAAAGACTCGAAAAAACCCGCGTTAAGTTTCGAGACAGTCACCAAAGGCCTTGACGGTGATAAAAAAGAATTGTTGAAATTGGAAGCTGAGACTATGGACGGGGAATGGTTGAGAGCGTTGGGTGTCGAATTAAAGAAACCTTACTTTCTTCAGGTATTTAATACATCAATGCTGATACAAAAAAAAAACGCGTAAAAACGCGTGATAAATGACTAATATTGAAATTCCAATAATAGTTGAAAAAGTTTCTGAAGGGTGAAAAAGAAAGTAATAAAACCGTATTTCCACCTGGTATGACACGACGACAATAGATATCCTTCATCTTTTAACTTGTGAAACTGAAGTATCGAATATTTTTTAATGCTGTACAGAACGAGACATATACAGCTGGTCAAGATATACTCCCTTATCAAACGTGAAAGTTGTGATCGTTGGCCAAGGTGAATGTTGCTTTGACATATTTATTTTTGCATTCCTCAGGTGAATAAATGAAATAATCAAATCATTCTCTTTTACTCAGATCCTTACCACGACATCGGACAAGCTCATGGCAAATAAATGACTTTTCTCGAATGATAGCAATAATTATAGCACATTTTATTCGTATCGTGTTGTACTAACTAATACATGTTCTCGTATTATGATTAGGATTATGCTTCAGCGTACAAAACGGGGTACGATGCCCGCCATCTCTTCTCAACATCTACAAAGCACTAAAAATTGATTTTCCGTCATTTGAGATCCCAAAGCATGGGTACTTCAATTCTATCCATTTTGTCATGATTATTGTTGCTATTAACAAATCGATCGACTCATCACTCCAATAATAAAAACAGAAACCTCGAGAACTGGGCAAAAGAAGGCGTTCTCCTATTGAATGCTTCATTAACCGTTCGTGCTCACGATGCAGCAAGTCATAGTAATAAAGGATGGGAGAAATTTACTGGTTTGTATTAGTGTTTTAGTGATTAATTAATGATGATGACGAGGATATTTCTAAAATATCAAATTTTTTCTGCTTAATAATTAATTTTAGATGCGATAATTCAGTATCTCAACGAAAAGAAAAACAACATAGTGTTTATGCTATGGGGTGCACACGCTCAAAAGAAAGGCAAAAATATAAACAAAGTAAAATAGTTATTAGAAATGATCAATTGTTTTTCCATATTAATCACAATTTATCTATTTCCGCAACAAAATTTATAGTCTAAACATCTTGTGCTCACAGCGGCTCATCCATCTCCACTATCAGCACATCATGGATTCTTCGAATGTCATCACTGGTCAAAAGCTAACGAATTTTTAAAAAACCGCGGTAGAAATCCAATTAATTGGAATTGTTTAGCAAATTCACAGGTTTTCGATTTTGCTACTACCACTACCACTACCACACCAACTACTATTAATGCCAATGTCGGTGCCAAAATCACTCCTACCCCTACTACCACGACCGCCGTTAATTCGGAACTTGAGGTTCAAAGTAGTAAAGCTGCTGCCGACATCACTCTTACCGCTCCTACCCCTACTACCACGACCGCCGCTAATTCTGAACTCGAGGTGCAAAGTAGTAAAGCTGCTGCCAATGAAGCTTCAGCTATCGAGGATAATAAATCTGAATGATTATTATATTCTAACGGGTGAATTATATTGATATTAATAACTTTTTTATTTTTTTTGTATTTTCTAAATAATACGTTAATAAATAATATTTTAATAAATATGTATCATATGATCGACTAATTGCTCGAGGTCAACTACTAAATCCTCTTGCAAAACGGTTTTTTTGATAATCTATATTACTACATAATCACATGTCATATAATCACATCATATTAAAACCTTTTTACAATCACCGCCTTAAAAACAATCTCATGACAATTATATTAAAAAATCTATACAATCACACTTTCAAATTTTTGATTATATGGAGATCACAACTAATCAAAAAGAAATATTTTTTGACCCATCGGATCGCTTAAAATTCACTGGATTTATGAGCGTGAAACACAATCAAATCTCTTTTACCAAACTTGACAATGTCTAAAATTCAAAGTCAAATAATCTGAAATATGTGCACTAATTAAACTTTTATGTGTTTATATTATACAGCGATAGAACAATAATTGTAATAATTTATGTGCAAAATGGTCGTGATTCTAAAAATTTACGGTCTTTCTATAGACGTTAGGTGAATAATATTGTTTGATCCAGATATGTACGCCTAAGACCGTTCGATTCTCTGTTATTGCTGGCGCAGTAATAACGACAATATTTTTATTCTCTGTTATTGTTGGCGCAGTAATACAAGAACGTCATTGTTGGTCACGAACATACTATTAAGATTAAGATGATCATTTTCTAGGGAATTTTGTAAAAATTTATTCTACGGATGTTTAACTCCGGAACCTACTTATCGTTATTATGACAATAACACACAACTGCGGCTCATTTAAGATGGTTAAGGCGGTTGGTTAGTTTGCCTTGTGCAATATCTATATAACGGCCAACTATACGCCAACTTTACACCATACTTTTGTTAAAAATATTTCAAAAATTACTGTTTTCAGAGTAATTATTAATTGATAAAGCAACTACCTCACTAAGATCCCCACAAGTAAATACCCATAAGAAACTACCAAAAAAAATGTCCGAGATTGAACATTATGAACCTTATAAACGACCTGGCTACGGGACCAAGGGTCGTGCGGCCGTATATCGCGTCAACTACTTTGAATTGAAAAAACTTCCAAAAAAGGCAACATCGATCAAATATGCGGTCGAAATCACGAAGCCTTTTATTACTGCAACAACTGGAAGAGCTTCCAATACGCCACGAGAGCAAACACCTCTGAAATTAGAAATCAAGCGTAAAGTGTTTAGAGAGTTGGAAAGGAAAAAGGGAAAAGAATTGTTCCAAAACGTTTCATACTTTTTCGATGGCAATAACACGTTGTACTCCGATAAAAACGTCAATATAAAAACCAACGTCTTCAGGAGCTCGGTGTTGCTCAATGATGATCATGATGCGCATGGCAGGCCGAATGAGTTCCTGGTGCAAATTTTCTTGTTGCAAGATCCGCTTAATCTCAACGAACTCGATACCTACATACAAGGAAAAACTTTTAGTTGGGATTTCTTCAATATGGATAGTTTGAAAGCCCTTAATGATTTGATGCATACCACCCCCGCCTCCAGATATGTCCAATTTAAAGATTTGATTTTGGATCCGAATACTCGTAAATCTTTAGGTGGCGGTATGGAGTTGTGGGCAGGTTTCTTCGAGAGTGTTCGTCCTGGGGAAAATGCACTCTTTGTAAATGTGAATCGTGCTCACTCTGTATTCTACGAAAAAAAAGATTTGGTTACGTTCTTGCGTGAATATCTTAAGCTTAGTGATTTACCTGCAACCTTCAGCAGAGAACAACGAGATAGAATCAACAGTGCCCTTGCCAAATTGAGAGTCAGACCATTACATCGACCAAATGTCAAAAATAGCCAATCAATTGAGTGTATTTCGTCAAAGAAGGCAGTAGAACATACATTTCCGCTTAGTGAGACGGGAGAAACTACAAATGTAAAGGAATATTTCAAAAAACATTATAAGATAGAGCTTAAATACCCTCATGTAGTAGAAATGCAAAAAAAGCCAGAAGTTTGGCCACTTGAATGCTGTGAGATTGTCCCTGGACAACGCGTTGCGCTGAAAAATCTTAATGGCGAGCAAATCGCAAAGAACATAACCTTCACCACAGCTCTTCCTAAAACGAATATGGAAACCATCTTGAGAGAAGGTGTCGGTCATATGTTGAATTTCGCTAATGATCAAAAACTTAAGGATTTCGAAGTAGGAGTCGACACTCAAATGGCAGTGGTTCCCGGTCGAATCATGAATTTACCAACTATCACCTATCATTCGTCTTCTAGAGAGGGTCCAAAACTCATACCGAACAATGATGGATCTTGGAATCTTCGTGGACGAAAATTCATCAAAAGCGGTGTTCCATTAAAATACTGGTTTGTCATATGCTGTGTTGAAGAGAGATACTTGCCTCGTCTGGATATCGAAAACTTTATTATTACGTTGGTTAATACTTGCCGTGGTCAAGGAGTGACTATAGACATGGGTAGACCGGAGATCATCTATGTAAACCCACGTGGAGATTTCAAAAAAACAATTCAAAGGGAATACAATAATTCAAGAGAATTCCTTCCTAATAAACCGCAAATGATCTTGTTTCTTCTACCTCCAGAAGCTAAGAGCAATAACAAGAGAGATAAGCAAATGTTTCCAGATAATGTCTATGATCGTCCATTGAATCAGAGCCTCTATCGTGATATAAAATTTATGACCAGTACGGTTCTGGGTTTATTATCGCAATGTATCGTCGCTGACAAGATCCATAAAGGTCCTTCCTACTGCGCAAACGTTGCTTTGAAAATTAATTTGATGCTTGGCGGAACCAATTCAATTCTCGATGTGACTGAAATTTCCGAACTTATAAAAGAACCTGTCATGCTTTTGGGTGCCGACGTTACACATCCGACCAGTGAAAACAACCGTAATTGCCCATCAATTTGTTCAGTTGTCGCTTCAGTTGATCTGCATGGCAGCAGATTTATTGATCAACATCGCGAACAAAAAAGGACGAAAGAAGACTCCAAGGGGGTTAAGAAAAATGTATCTGAAGAGAAAATTTTGGAAATGCAACAAATTGTCAAAGAACTCTTAACAGAATATAAAGAAATTAATCGATGCTTACCTAAAAAAATCGTCATGTATCGTGATGGTGTATCCGAGAGCCAATATAAAATGGTTCTTGAATATGAATTGAAGGCTATTCAAACGGCTTGTAGAGAATTCAAAGACAAAGAGGAAAAAACTTATGATCCTCCAATTACTTTTATCGTCGTTGGTAAAAGACATCATATTCGTGCAAACGCTGAGGACAAAAAAAACACTGATAGAAATGGAAATTGTCTTCCTGGAACGATCATTGATCGAAAGATCATGCATCCGTATCTCTTCGATTTTCTCTTATATTCTCACTCCAGTCTTCAAGGGACATCACGACCAGCACATTGCATCGTGTTATACGATAAAAATAAGTTTGATACCGATACCCTTCAAGAGTTCACATACAAACTCTGTTTTAATTATCAACGTGCGACGCGATCAGTTTCTATTCCTTCTCCAGTATACTATGCGCACTTGTCCGCCAAACACGCACGCACCCACGTATATGAAGGAAAACTTCGACGAGTACATCCAACGCTTGCGAAAGAATTTCCAATGTACTTCATGTGATCACATAATTCCATCGATCTTTCACATCACAAAATCAATCAATCAATCAAATCTAAAAAATTAAACAAAAAAAATATTCTTTCTCTCTTATGATTTCCTTTTATAAACTAAATTATCACAAATTCTACCATATCATAACATCTTTATCATAACATCTTTATTATCCTATATTCAGGAATTTTTACATACTCATACATACTGTAAAATTGTCCTTGCATGTTTATATCATGCTTGTGTACAAATTTTCGTGGGTTTCTTAGTTTTTTTTAACATAGTTTTTATCGCTACTACTCATCTCTTACCAAAACAAATTATATCTATAAAGTATAACAAAGTGGGTTATCGTCCTATATTATATTTTTCTTCAAGTTGTTATTGTTCATCATCTATTGTTTGTTTCTTAACTATATCGAGAATGGATCAATAAATTGACTTTTTTGTGTTTTAATATTATTGTTGTCCGAATGTATTGTCGTTTTGTTGATTGAAATGATAATGAGAAAATGTAATTACTTTAGTATTTCGATGTTCGCAGAGGGGTTAAGAATCATTAGCCAGATGTACTTATTAGTCATACGACGTATAAATTATGCATGTTGACAAAAGCGACGAGCGCAATATGAGATCATAGTGTCGGTACCTTTTTCAAAAGGCTCTTGAGACAAAAGCTCTATTTATCGTTTTGCTAAAGCGATCGTCAATCGACAGATTTGGTAGATTATCAATGTCCTTTGGTCTCACACAATGAGACCAAATAGACAATTCAAATGAATTGTATTTTTTAAAAAGTTGTATTTGGCTTTTATGTCAGCCGTATGGAAATTGGTGCGCTGTCGTACCCGGATATTAATTGATCAATGACCCATTTCCTGTATCCGATTATTGAATTCTACCTTAAATCAACAAATTTATGAGGATTTTTATTTATATGCCTGTATTCATGTAATGTGGCACAACCATTTTCGGAGATTATTGCAGAGCTTTGCGGGCGACATTGACTTGAAACATTTAGGTGGCTGTGCTGACCGTCGTGGAAGTTCGGGCTTTAAGGCATCTCTTTCACTGAAAGAGCTCCATGCATCCAGGTATAGATACAGAATACAGGTGTAGACACATAACAAAAAATCCCTTTTCTATAAAAAGATATTATATATGATCCTTTTTTTGGATCTAAATATTATCCAAAAATCCGTTATATCTGGACTTTATTAATAGATTCATTATAGTTATTATAGACTGTTCTGGACCTCGATCTGTTTGTTATAGCTTTCCCACACGCAAATATATTACATGCATATGTGAAGAATATATATATTTCGGGAAGACTGTCTTTGACATGCAGATCAACTAATGATCAAGCTAAAAATGTGGAAAGGCGAAAGATATTATTTCGTGGGACTGTATATTATCAAAAATATATTATTTACAAAAAATCAAAGCCAAGCTTTGATTATACATATTATATTATATTATATTATATATTATATAGATATAGATATATAGATATGTGCGTAATGAAGAAAGAAACGCGTTTGTGATTTTAAAAATGCAGACTAATGGATCAATGGATTTTTCGTTGGGGAAGGATGAATGAGAAATGGATATGGAAATAAATAAAATAAAATTATACAAAGAATTAGTTCATTCATCGGCTCACAATGGTTAACGGAAAAATTAGATATTCTTTATTAAAATGTATAAGGAACCAATAGTAATCACAAAAATATAAATTGGCATTCATCCAATCGAAGGAAAAAAGGCAAGGATAAAGAGTATATTATAAATAAACGCCCAAAAAGGAATATATTCTCGAAAAAGACTCTTGGATCTTTGATGATAAAAAAAGGATTAATCTAACCCGAATCGTGATAATAAGATCACGAAGACGACGACGACGCGTTTCGCCTTTTACCATCCACGGAAAATAAATATAAAGTATAAAAAATTAAGTAATAGATTATGTTTTTTTGTTTAGTTTTTTATGTATACACGTATGAATACGCATATACGTTTTTGGATATAAAAGTAAATATGAACAAGGAAAATATGAACAAGAAAAAAATACAAGCTAAAAAATTACGCGTGTTTATTATTGTATCTTGATTGGAGGGGTGATATCTGCGCACGTATGTGTAAAAGAAGAGAATATATGTACATTAAAGAGGAATGGGGAAAAAGAAAAAAGTGAAATGCATCACCCCCAAACAATCGAGAACACAATCAACAAATCAGTCTAAAGAAACCTTTTTGACATCAATCCCCCTATTATTGTTACTATTAAAAAAGCATCATCAGGGATATTTCTATTATTTCTATTATTATTATTATTATTATTATTATTATTATTATTATTATTGTTATCATCATCGTTTTTTATTAGCATTTTTTTATGTACACGCGTCGGAAAAAGATAAGATAAAAATTCTTTGGGAACACATAAAAAATACCAAAAATAATAAGGAAGATTAAGGTCAAACTCAACAAATAAATAAATAAAATCAAGAAACGTATTTATATTTGTATTTATATTTATGTTTATATTTATATTTTTTATATATGAAGAAATGAATACGATGAATGATGATGATTACTGATGTGTTTTGGGCGAAATGGAATTGCGTGAAGTGGGGTGAAAAAAAATGAAAATGCTTACATTATATGTATAATTAAAAAAAATAAAGAACAAATCCACCATGAAAATAAGCCATCAATGTACCAAATAAAAAGAAAAGAAAAGAAATATACACATAAATACTTGCGTAGAGCAAGTAATAAGCTTCACGGTAACCTTGTATAAACCGTAACACATTTTTACAAAAGTAAGAATAAAATAAAATGGAGGTCAAATCATTTATTTAATAAATCGATCAATAATCGAACCAAGGTCCAACTTCATTACTCGCCCACCCAGAAATCATATTTTTAATTTGAGCATGTTCCATTTGAGCTTGTTGCAATTCTTCGTTAATGCGTTGTTGCCAAGGATCGAAGTGTCTTAGTGATGAAGCTCGCGATGATGTTCGTGACGATGACAGTCTGTCGTCTAATTATTAAAATAAAAAGGATTGTTAAGCAAAATTTGCGCATCACGTGAAACGAAAGTTTCTAATTATCCGAATGGCGCAGTATTGGGCGACAAGAACTTACCACTATCCGTTGAGATTCTTGACCTTATTGACCCTTCTTTAAAGATTTGTCGGCGGTGTGGGTTTAACGGGTTATGAAATTCCTCTTCGTGAATATCGTCGTCATCTTGAGACAGATATGACGCGATGCTTTTATTCTGTACTTGAGCCAATATATCTATTTATCAACGTTTTTGTCATTAGTATTTGATTATAAGATAACTTTGATTGATGTTTAAATATAATTTAACTTACTTTCTAATTTATCCCATGCTCGTCGAAAAAACGACGGCTGATATTGTTCTTGGCTATTATTACTGACGGCAATGGTTGCGGGTACTTGAGCAATAGTTTCAATAGCGGCTGCCATTTGTATGTTTTAAAGTGTTCTATATACGCGTAGTTTTATGTCAAATTTTTTTTAGACTTTATGTCGTTTTTGTTTTTTTGTGGTTTCTTTAAACTCGAAAAAAGCAGTACGCGGTACTTTCTCTTTCCTCTCTAAGATAATAATTTAATATATATATACGCTAATATTTTGTGGGGTTTTTTGAAAACTCGCAAAACTCTGACTGACTTGTGATTTGCTTATATGTACAAAAGTTCAAGATATATATATATAGTTGAAAATGTATAATCATAAACGAGAAATTATTATCTTATTGTTGTTAGTTTTCGGTCGTATGGAGATGAAAGACGGAAAAAAGGGGAAGAAGGGACGAAGCGGCTGGGCTCTATTTATATATATGTGTGTATATCGCAATATATATAATTTTTATATAGAGTTAAGTATTATGTGTTGTGATATGTAATGAATAATGTCGTGGCAAAAAAAAGAATATATATGGGAGTTTCGTTCGAATTGTGTCGTGAGGCGTCGTAAGAAGCTATTTGATCGGATTTTTTTTATATTTTATTATAGAATAATGTATAAAAAATGGATAATGGGATAATGGGATAATGTGATCGTGCGTGCGGGTTTAGCGGGGAAAGAAAAGGGCGAAATCGAACGAACGAAATAGGTAAAGAAAAAAAAAATGGTCAAACACCAACTTGCAAACTTTCTGGCTAAACATTTATATTTATGGTTATTAGTGTATCACGTATTACTGTTATTTTTTTTCTATCTATTTACACAAGCTTATTTATTTAATTAATATAAATTGCTTTATTGTTAACATAAAGTTTAATTAGTTTAATTAAATATACAGTTTAATTTAATCTAGCTATTATTATTGGGGTATTTATATTGATTGATATATATATATATGTGTGTGTGCTGGAACGTGGAATTTGGATTTGAATTGAATCAAAGGATTGAATTTCGTTTATATATATAGTTCTAACCAAAAATTGGGAGTAACCGATAGACCCAACCAACTAATATCCGACCGTGCCATCTTTAAATGTCGGGTGAAACGAAGTTGCCGTGCTATTTTATTTATTGATTTTTTCGCAAGAAAAATGTGCAATCTTGTATAAAGTACAAGTACGACTACGATGCAATTAGTGTTTTGTATAAACATTGAATAAAATGTATCCTATTCACCCATTACACTGTTCTTATTTCTCCGTTCGTTAGGTAAGACGAAATGTAGGATGACATTCTTACGGGCGTACGATTGTGTACTGTACTTGTCTAATTCTAACTTTTTTTCTGATATGGATATTATATTTGACGCCTACCCGTTCATCCGAGACATTCTTTCGATTCGTGAAAGTGCTTCGAGGAATTGGATTAGAATCAGAAGTTTAGGGTGGATTTGTATTGTATTTGTATTGTATTGTATTGATTTACAAAGGTAATTTAGAATAAAAGAATATTTGACCCGAGAATTATTAACCGTTTAAAGTGGTGGTGCTGTGACGTTGCGGGTATTGTGATTCGCCGCTACCACTAATCAAGAAATCAAAAGAAAGAAAAGCATCTTTATGTTAATGCTTTGTTATCACTATTGTTATTGTTATCGTTATTGTTAGTATATTTTATATATTTTATTAGCATCATATTATTACTTTTACTATTGTATGCTTGTCATCGGATATCACCAACATTAACATTATCCGTTAGCTTATGACTATTGTGATTTTTCCCGTGTCGTCGTGGTAATTTTTCGATATTCGTGTTTCGTGTTTTTCGTTGTGTTAATGTAAGGCTTTGCGCACCACACATAAAGAATTAACATATATGTGCATAAAGAAACGCGTGTGTATTTCGTATTAGGTAATGCCAGATTTCGTTATTGTCGTTTATGGATTTGGTTGATCGCGAGTCAATCAAGAACCGAGTGAAGATTGAGGTTGCATGATTGTATGGGCATAGAAGTTTTAAGTGACATAACCATAAAATCTTTCATCTTTAAAATCAAGAATCGATCAAGATAATTTCTTCCTGTATACATACATATACCATTCTCGAGAATTCTCGAGGATACTCAAGAATTCATTGCGTTGACGAAAAAATAGGATCGAATTTCGAACCAATGACATCATGTAAGACGATTGATAACGATATATACGCACACACGTCAAATTGAATTGCCGTTTCTGCCGTTGATAACTGTGCCAAGGAGATCACACAACAAAAATAGCTCAAGAATCAACCGAAAATCATTATTTTTTTAGGTCTTTTGTGAACAGGAAACCTTCCATCAAAATCTTCTTTTAATCCCACTTCACAGCATCGATAGTCTCGAATCTTTTACGTTAGTTAATAATTAGGTGATAATTCAAGGAATCATTGAATACTTCTTTCTGCTTATGCTAATTATGCTTCTTCCCCTTCCCCAATACCCCAAAAAAATTATCCGCGAATGATATGCTACAATAATTATTAATCTAATATACATGTATGTGAATATACACATACATGTTAATACGTACGTATTATTTTGCATCTAGAGATATACATGTCCAATTTACACAGGAAAGGAATGAAAGAGACAAAACGGCAAGTGAAAGAACATACAATACTAATATATGGTAAGAAAATGGATTGTGTTTTTTGTCGTTGTGTGTTGTTTGAGAGTCTGTGCGGGTGGATTTGTTGATTTGGCGAGATATCGACGAAAGACGGATGGACCCCTCGGAAATCTTGTCAAGACGTAATAAATTCGATTCGATTGGGATAGAACCCACATATATTTGTCTGCGTGTGAAATTTGATCGAATAATTGTAACATTTCGAAATAGAAAAACAATAGATCATAGCATAGATAAATATTATTAGATAGATAATATATGAGAGTATCAACGACAAAGTACATGTAATTAATTAGCTGTTTAAAGTTTATTATTAGCATGAAACGACAAGGACAACTAGGCGCATGATATTACCGGCAAAAACCAATAGTTATTGTGATTTTTAATTTGAAAAATAAAAACAATGCGCGTTTTACAACAGATTGGATGACGATAATAGATTTTCGATGAAAGATTGTAATTACGATGAGATTATTCTTGATATAACGACATTACAGAGAAATAATGATATATATATATATAAGAAATTTGATTTGATGGAGCGACTTTCTTGATATAACGACATTTTCAGCTCGAACCGAAGGCGTCGTTATAATGAGATTCGCTTGTATCATTATTATTATTATTATTATTAATTATTTCATCAATATTTCTGGATAAACGTTAATTATAATGATTATTTCGAATCAAAATATTTTGATATTTTTGGTATACAAATAATAAAGCAATTTTTTGGGAATTTTTGCGAATTTCACGGTTTTTGGAAATATTATGGGTTTTTGCTGTTTTTATCTACAAGTAATATCGATATATACTAATACCTAAATCGATCCATGCATAAATAGCCACATTCGAGCTATTTCTTATTTACACGTATATGTACATCCCTTACTCTCTTCTTCTCTTTCTGTGTTAATTGTGTTTTAATGATGCTTCAATGTTTATGTTTATGACATATTTCTTTTAAGGGGAAAGAAGAGTGAGAGAAAAATGGAACTAATGAAGTCGCACGGAATGAATGAGAAGGACAATTGGAATCGATTGGGGACGATCAAGTGAGAACAATGAACAAAGCGTCTAGGCGTCCACGCTATTTTAATATTATTATTTACGGGGGCGAAGAAGAGAAATATAAATGATGAATGATAAACGACACAGTTTATTGTCATTGATGAATTGAATCGAATTGGATGTCATGATTTTTCCCCGATTACAAGGATTTACTAAATCGACAATGCTCATATGATTTACAAGCACGCCAACACAGAATTTACCGCGAAAAATCACATGCACATGAAAAAACGCCTAAAACGCCAGAATAAAAAAAAATTGCATAAATACATCAAGAAATCAAATATGGACATATATATAGTTTCTGTTTTGGCCAATGTAAAAAAAAAGGCAAAAAGAAAGATGGATTGTAAGAAAAACAACACCCACATACATGAGTATCTTGAAATAAAATGAGAATAAGCCGCCATTAGCGTTCGCCGAAACACCGACCTCCGCGGTTCACACGAGCCTTCAAAACATTCCCGAAATTTTTTATTTAATCCATTATCGTGCAAAAAACAATTTCTTAATAGGAAACTTTTGCATCATACAAAACAAGTTTTAATTTACTGAATAACGTATGCGGAACGATCAATGGACATACATAACGATAATGAAAAAGTGAGAAAAAAACGATACATGGTTAAAAATGCGTCAGCATGCGTTGGTATGTATATGCCGTTGGTTTTCTGGGGGATCGGTGGAGTTTTATATTAATTAATCGCATGCCTTGTCAAATTCAAAAAAGTGAGAATAAGAAAGAAAATAAAGAGCAAAGAAATTAAGAGTGAAGTACAAAAGAAAAGATTTTTCTAGAATCGATTTCGCGATAAACGCCTTTTTTGCATCCACCATAATCGTCATAAATATAATTTCCCTTTACAGACACCGAATGCAAGTACTATTTCATTCACGTTCATATTATGCACACATTAGCGAAATACTGCGACATGTACGTACATGAGGTAATACTCTGCCCACGAAATATCATTTTTTATTGGATGTACATGAATGTTTTTGGTAAGCAACGTCGACTTGCATTTTTATACTATGCTATATGTGTGGAAAAATGATAAAAGGCAAAATATGCTTGATACGAGACAATTGGTTTATTGATATCTAATATTACCATCTATTATTGCCATATACGAAGAAGTGAAGAGTAATTGGCCTTAGCCTTGCTTTTGATTATTGAATGCGCGTCATTTTCTCGAATCAGTCGAGTGAATAATGTACAAACTACTCATCGTTCAGCCCTAATGTTACAAGTCATCATCGTCTGTCAAAGTTACACTTACAGACAGAAATTAATGAACCGCAATATGCGTGGACATGTGTATATGAATGGTCTATCTGAGGCATTTTACATTTCGTAAATTACACGGAAGTCTTTGAATTTCCTCGTTCAATGATATCTCTCTTTATTCCCTCATTCATTGAATCATTGTCACTTTCCCTTAACAATGATGATAAAATAACCAGTAATCAGCCGGTCTATTTGTTGTTTGTTACAACAAAAACGACAATATTCTGTGACAATATGTACGCCCTTTCTTCTTCGGTGAGTGCATGGTATCACGATGCTTCATGATTTTGTATTTTCTTACTTTTTTATTCTCTCAATCGAATCACCACATTACAAGCTACAAAAACGAATATTATGACACTTTGAAAGATTAATTCATTCATTTTTTCGTAATTATTGATTTTACACGAATGTAAAATACGTCACGCGCGACTAACGAAGGTTTAGCCCAATTATCAGATAATTGATGTAATTGTGTACCGGTAAGAGACTCAGGTTATAGTTTCTGTTTGAGCTTCGTATTCGAGAAATTTCTTTTTTTATGTAATTAATGTGACATAAAAAATAAAGTGCTTATGAACTGTACACCATAAAATTATTCCGGTGTTGTTGTATGTATATACGTTCGTATAACGGATTTACCTTTCTTCCAATTCAAGATTACGAATTAGTATATAGGCTCGATTGGACTCGACTTCTGATTCGATAACGATTACAAGTATGTGTTCGAGAGAGATATATATATATATATATGATTTTCCATCCCCATGCTTACAAATTTAAAGTCTTCTCCACCAATCGCGGTATTCAATGTTTGTTTTGATTAATTAACCGTTCCTTCTTTTAATCCATTCAATTCATTCAATGATACCCGAATGTGTCCAATCCACACTTTCTTCATGTCAATAATAAAGAGAATTTCCGTAATCCTCTTCTAAACTCTAATTTAAACTTTATTATTATTATTAGATACACGCGTGTACATAATACATGTACATGTATGTGTTACTGTTATATCAGCATTAATAGATTGATAACTAGAAAATATTTTATCGTTATGGGTTTCGAAATATAGTTATCATTGAATCTAATGCGCGTCCACACGAACTAATCAAACTAAGGCGCTATATCAATATCGATTGATGTTTCAATCTATTTATTACTATTTTTGCAAATCCACGTGTAGAATTTCTTTGTATCAAACTGATCACAGCTAATAGTTTTCGGTAAGTGTGTTATCAACTAACTAGTTAATCGATGGTGTTGATTTTATCTGACTAATCACACTTTTTATTGTCACAAATAATAAAAAGGCGTAGTAGAAGAAACTGAGCAAAAAAAAAACAACAAAAAAACAAATATTCGATATAACAATGATGCATCAAGAATTGGACAGGCTTTTTTTTTGCTGGATAGTTTGCTTTTCTTATAGTTGAGAGTTTTCTGAATTGTAATTGTTGACTTTCATGCATCGTTTGATTATTGTTATTTATTGGAACGCATACGTATATAGTTAGTGAGTGAGTGCATCGTGTTTATTATCAACTTTGTCTATTTACTAGTTTTCCTAATCAACAGCATATCGTGCAGATCCTTTAATGCCATGTACATGTATGCAGATCAATCATTACCTAAACGAATAAATTATTGGAAATTTCAATAAGATTTATGATTTTGGACTTGTAGATTATTTATTGATTAACCTGTGATCTTTGAAGCATGTGAATTGACTTTGAACATGGCGTGGCCACCAATAAGAATGCGTAAATTTTGGATACAAACCAATAAAAATGCGTAAATTTTCGATCAACCCGAAAAAAAATGTAAAAAATACGAGAAACAGATGCCTAAATCTAGTCTCGTAACTTTTACCGTATAATTTTTCCCGACATGCACAAATATCACGTGACCCGAACAAATTTTTTTGGTCGTGGCTAGGATACTAGTTCAGAATCTTTATGCGTTACTTGAGAATCATGAACGAAAAAACCTCGCTCGAGAAAATAATTTTTAATCATTCCTGACAAGTTTCATATGTAATAATACATGTTATATATATATCTATCTATCTATATACACAGTCAGACCTCAATTTGGTGACTATGCAATTTAACGATCTTCATAAGAGCACAAAAAATCAGGCTCAATCTCTTGAAACAGCGACATTTTTACTATATGTCCCGACTTATCGTTAGATCAAGGTCTGACTGTATATATGAAATAAATAAAGTAATAAGGGACTTCAAATATACTTTTCTAAGGCGGCCCGAAAAACAGGGTATGAATATGATGATGAATATGATTATAATTATAATTAACAGTCGATGCGGTGGTGTTATAACTAGCTGCAGTATTCGGAGAATACTCATCATCGTTATAAATATTGTCCTCAATTCCTTCATTATTAATATAAGTATTACTATTATTACTGCTGTTGCTCTGACTGTCGGTGTCAAGGATATAGTAATCATCGAATCCTAAAATCCCAATCAAGCCATTAGCACACCCGACTACAATCCGACGATAATCCATGTCAACTGTAGTGTACGACTGTATACGCAGTTTAGCAAGTTCCGCAAGTCTACTACTAGTTTTTCCGGTTTTTTCTCGTTCACGTTGTTCGCGTTCTTGGTCTTGTTGTTGTTGTTGTGTTTGTGATTGTTTAAGTGCAAACTGAACCATTGACGATTGCCCAACATTATCAAAGAGCTGTAGATCCAAGATTATCGAGGCACCAGTGCCACTGTTCGTATACAAACTTTCTTCATCGCGATCCCGGAAACCACGCACTACTCGTCCTTTCCTGATGTCACAGGCGATCGCACGAGCAGTTGATGCGGATGAATTTGACCATGATGATGAGGACGGTGATTGAGATTTTAATTTCGAAATGTTTGCTGGTAGTGTTATATATTCTTCGAGCATTTCCAGGGTAAGCATTTCTTGATTCTGTTGTTGTTTCGAGATCACGTTTTTAAAGTATGCCCAGCCAAAGAGACCTTCGTCGAACGGTATAGAAAATAAGAAGGTTCCCTTTGGTAGACTGTACACTTTTAGTTCTTTATCATTATTGTTGCTTAATGCTACTATCGTGTTGTCGAGGAATCTAAAGTCTTGTGCCTGATTTTATTTTAATTAATTTATAAATAAATAAACAAAAAAAAACAAACAAATAAATAATTAATTAATTGGTTATAGACTTACATTAGTACATATACTAGCAACTTTTTCTCCTGTTCTCCATATCCAAATGATTATGCTACCATCAAAAGCACACGATGCCACGTATGTCTCGTTTAACGAAATAACACGAACAGCACTAACATGACCAGTTAACTCTTGTAGCAATTCTCCGGATTCCATATCCCAAACAAAAGAAGCCCTAATAAATAATTTTAAATATAAATTAATAGAACACTCGAATAATGATCTGGACAATAACTAATAAAGAATACCTAAAAAAGGTAGATGCCACCACAATTTTCTCTTTAACCAAGAAATCCACACTACTAAACGTATTCCCTTTGAACACACGCAAACATTTTCCCTTGTCCAAATCCCAAACACGAACTGTACGATCCGTGGATCCTGTCACCAAGATATTCTCCTTTAATTTTGCGTCGTTTATTCGTTCCTTGTGACCGTACAATATTTTTACAGATTGTGCTCGACCATGGGTCCAATTTTGTTCCCGAAGATACAGCTGTTGATATATTTGCTCCCAGTTTTTGAAAGGTGCTATTTCGGTTGTTGCCATTTTTGTTAATTCTATTAATTCTGTTAATTCTGTTGTTGCTGTGGATGATGATGATGACAATGATAGTAATGAGGGTGATGGGATAAATCCATCTTTGCTAAACATGTCCAAGCATTTCATATGCCAGATTGAAGAATCGTGTGAAATGTTACGCCAGGTTCTGCTTACCTAAAAGACATGAAATTATTGAGCGTTACTTGAAAGCTGTACAAAACTTCCTTGAGTAAGATAGATGATGATGGCAATAACGATATCGTGGAAAAAAAAATAACTAACCTCCCTACAATTGCACAAATCTCCAGGATCAAGATGCGAGAATATTTTCACCGACAATTCGACAGGCAACGCCCCCAACAGGTCAAATCCAGTCATGCCCAAATGTTTTAAACGTTGCTGAAGTATGTGAAAGTCATATGAATCGCATTCGTTGAGTAATTCTAGTAGACTGGTACATTTTAATTATATATAATTACAATTATGTTGATTTATATCATGCGCGCAGTAGTCGACAGAGAGGGTTCATTTTCGGCCCAGTTAATTATCAAAAATAAATATCAATGAAACGAACGGATGAAATTTGAAATTTTTAGATATGAAATTTAAACTATTGGAGGTTTCCTATCGTTGCCTCTGTCATTTTCTATGATTTACCTAAACTGGTTCGAAATAACAATGTTTATAAGATTCTTCACTTACAATGCTTTGCGATGTTCACGATTATGTGCCCTATAGTTTTTCAAGGCACCAGATAATTCTGGCGGTAAGCTTGACATAGTTATTGAAGAAAACAAATAATTTTCGACCAGATGTGGAGTTCATAAACAAACACTCCAATTTATGATTTTCCTCATTATTAACGGATCACTTAAGATGATGCCCGATATGATGTGGTCATCAAATTTTTTTTCGAACTAACCAACGGTTCGCTAGTAATAAAAAAGTACGTATTTTTTTTTCTTTGGCTTTCGCTTAGAAGAGTACGCATTCAGTTGCTTACGTGATGATACCTTTTGCGGGTATACAAATGATACCACTGAACATTTAAAAAATATGTGTGGACGAACCGTAAAAAAATAATTAGGGATTCCTCGTTTCTGACTAAAATCATCTGTAACAGATAAAAAAGTGAATAATATTCTTTCGTTAGTCAACTAAAATCTTGTTCTTTTCTCCGTTGCCATTACAGCAAATCAAAGGTACGAGTCTACACTTCTGTGAAATCGTACGGGCGCGCATGTATATTTCATTTTATTATTGATTTTGCGAATATGTACGCGTGTTTAAGTGCGAATTTAAAAGATGATGATAACACTCCATAACCATTTTTCGGTGATTTCAATATGAGCCATCAAGAAAACATATAACATGCACTTCCATCTGATTATAAGTATAAATACACATAGACACGCGGATATAACAAATTGTGTATAATTAGTGACATGTTTAGTGATTAAAATTTTTTGTTTTTTTTTTAATCCTTATTTTTGGGAAATCGATATTGAAATAACTTAAAAGGTCAAGATAAAAAAGTAAGTAAACAATTTCCAATCACCATCTATAATTACAAACTAGTAAATCAAAAAGATGATGAACAAATTATTTTATCCAGTTCTGCTTCTGACATATAATGAAGTACAAACATAAAAAATAGAAACTCACTTGTTCTGATAATTATAATTATTATTATTATTATTATTATTATTATTATTATTATTATTATTATTATTATTATTATTATTATTAT